TCATTACTGTGCTAGGCAGTGGAGGTAAAAGGATGAGTGAAACTTGAACCTTCCGGAGAGAGCTCACTGTCTTAGATGAAGTCAGATAGTAAAATGAGGCAAAATGCAATGCAATCTGAAGTGCCACAAAAAATAGCAGAGTTAATATGCAACAGAGTTGAGGAAGAGAGAATGTAAAACTGCCTGTGGAAGTGTGGGGAGGTTCTAGAGAGAATATGATACCTGAATGCACCCTCGGGAGATGAGTAAGACTATGCTTTGCAGAGAACAAGTCAAGGGTTTTCCAAGCAGAAGAAAAAAGACAAACAGGAAGTAAGGATACAAGTACCTACCAGGTCTGCAGACAAGCCCGTTATTCCAACTTATGAAAGAGACTCGTAACCGAGAGCTCCTGCTGGCTCCCAAAGCAATGAGCTATAACTTACTCTTTCTGCCTAAATTGCAGGCTCCTTCTAGAACCCTGGAGGAGTGAGGCTAGAGATGTAAGTTAATTAAGGCTCCCAGCACTGGGGAAAGACTTCTTTGGTTAGAGTTTCATAATCAGCTAGCCAAAATCGGAGAGAGAGGGAAATCTTTAGGAGGCAATTATTATGTGCCACACTACCTGAACTTCATCGCGGGTAGGCAGAACAGGGGAAGATCGGCCCCGGTCGTGAAAAAATAAAAACTGAGCTACTTGCTAGGGAAAGGCAGCTCTGGCTGGCAATTGTCTTGGTGCTTCCAGCTGAGTAAGGCCACCCAAGCACCCAAAGGTGCCTTTGAGTGGCAGGAATTCTCACACCATGTGCGGGTTGCCACTGCCCTCACAGTGCAAGAGTTACCAGCACGCGTGGGTGGCGTCCAGCATCTGTCCAGTTAGGCTCCCCAGGGCACCTACGGACACGCCCTTCAACGGGAACTGAAAACCCCACCGCAGCATCACCTGGATCCCAGCATCCCACGTCATGGGTCGTCCAGAGTTGTGCAGCATCCTTCCTGCAGCGACTTTCGGTCCCCCTGGAGGGCTTTCCGTTTCTAAGAGTTTAGCTAACTCCCAATTTGCCACCTCGGTCCCGGTCCGCGCGGAATCCAAAACGCCTCATTCGCACCCTCGCCCGGGAGACAACAGCCCGGGATGTCAGAGGTGGGGGGGTGGGGGGTGGAAGGGACAGAGAGGCGGCCTCTGGGTTTGAAGCGCGCCCTTCCACAGACTCCGCGCAGTCCAAGCCGCCCGGGGTGCGCCCCGCGGGAAACGCGCCCCGAGGCCAGAGCAGGGGAGCGGAGACGGCGGTCCGGCGGGTTCGGAGACTCTCTCCCAGGCGAGGTGGCCGCTCGTAGG